AAATTCTACCTAAAATTTTGTTAATTAATGGGTAATCAGCTGAATTACTAAATTTTGTAATGTTACAAACCTTCCACTATATCAACAGTTTCAACAGTAAGTTCCTTCTAAAATTACCTTGGTCAATTAGCAATAAATACCTATTTAATTATATATTTTAAAACATTCCTTGGGTGCATTTTTAAAACTACTATACTATATGTTTAATTTAATCTAAAACGAAATAATCTAATAAACTGGTTATACAACACCATTATCTCTGTGCAGTGTACAGAAACCATTTGTCTTTGTTCCCATTTCTTAAGTAGAACATGTTTAAGATATAAATCAACTTAACGTTGCTATTTCGCTTAAATCTAGAAAACATGTATGTATGTTATAACAAAAATTTAAAATTTTATGTAATTATTATTAGTTATATTATTGATAACAATTTCTAATATTCTATTTTTATAATTAGAACATTTTAAGATATTGGAAGCTTAAAATTGCTTCATTATTCCAATTATGGTGTAGCCTCCCTCACATATTTAGATACATTCTTTGTATGGTCGAAACACCGGTTCCCATTAGAACACCGAAGTTAAGCGATATAAGGCGATACTAGTGGATGGACGGGTGACCGCTTCGAAACTCTGTATCGTGCTGTTGTCCAAAAAAGGCAAAAGTGTAAAATCTATTGACACACACTGCTCATTCACGCCGGTTCGAGGCAGGATGAGTCTAATATCTCGTGAGTAAGAGTCGATTTAGACATTGTCAAGTCGGTAGGCCATTGACAATGATATGGCCGAGGACCGTGGTTCGGATTCCGCGTAAACAAAGTAGACCCCGTCGAGATTAGCCCTGGCAGCAAAAACGAGACGTTAACTTCAAATCTTTACTTTTACTTTATTTTCTTTCTAGTTGGGCCCATTGTTATCTATTATTGGTGATGCGGGCCCAAGTTATCCCTGCTAATTTCCTAATATCATGGTCCTATCCAAGTTTGATCTTCTTCAGGTCTCTTAATTCCTCGTGGGTGCCATACTGTAATCTTTGTGGTCCATCTGTTGTCCGTCCGTCTTGCCAGTTGTCCTGCTCATTGCCACTTGAGGGATTTGATTCTGTGGATAACATCTATTACCAAGTCTTTTGTCGTATCCACTCTATTCTTTTACGGTCTTTCTTGGTTATTCCCAGCACATTTCGTTCCATTGAGCGTTGTGCAACCTGCATTTTCCTTCTAATGTTCGTTTTAAGTGTCCAGGTTTCGCATGCATACCTAGGTCATAACTGGTAGTACACATATTGGTCGAACGTTTTCTTCAAAGCATTCTAGGTTTGAATATGTCTGAGTTTCTTACTTACATTGAATAAAATTTAGTTCATTAGAATTGCTAGCATTAATAAAAATAATAATAAAAAAAATTGCGGACATTAATAGCTTATTTTGGATAGCTCTTGTAGAGTTTATGCGATCCCCAATTACAGTGTTTTCATAAATTATTCGTATTATCCAAAACAATGAGCATGATTGATTATTTTATGCAATAATTCTTAAATATATGCTTATATAGATAAATGTTTATTTATAATAAATTAACTTGGCTTAGGTTAAAAAATGAATTTGTAAAATGAGATCTGCATTATCTATCGCCAGATATTTAACCCAAAACATAAACCGGCTTAAAATCAACAAAATATATGTAATTGTTATTAATAAACTTGGTTTAATCCGTAACCATACCATTTCTTGAATGTTATTCGTTTTTCTGGGCGAATCATGACTTTTATTTCTTTGGAAAAAAAGCCAAAACAAAAATTGGAACAAGCAAACTTGCTGACTAATAGTGCGGTTTTACTGACGATAATTTAGGTGACAAAGGAAAAGTTATTTATCTTATAATATTAATCTGTTCTTATATAAAAAAGCAATCATACATACAGTACCAGTCATTACCTATGCATGCGAAACCTGGACACTTAAAACGGACACCATAAGAAAACTGCAGGTCGCACAACGCTGGGAATAACTAAGAGGGACCGTAAAAGAATAGAGTGGATACGAGAAAAGAAGAGGTAATAGATGTCATCCACAGAGTCAAATCCCTTAAATGGCAATGGCAGGACACCTGGCAAGAAGAACGGACAACAGATGGACCACAAAGACTACTTTATGGTACCCACGTGGAATTAAGAGACCTAGAAGAAAACCGACGTGCTGCACCAAAATACTAACCGTTTAAGTGCTGCACAAAATACAAATATTTGGGTATGCAAATCACAAATGACGGACTGTTGGATACAGCAATTAAAGAACGAAACCAACTTGGAAGGAAAGCTATCACGGTATTAAATGGGATACTGTGGGACAGAAGCATAAACAGCAAGAACAAAACATTAATATATCATCATCATCAAGAGTATAACCATGTACAGCTGTGAAATGTGGCCAATTACGGAAACAACAAAACGAATGCTGGAAGCTACAGAGATGGATTTTTGGAGAAGATCAGCAGGCAAATCAAGACTCGCGCGAATAACTAATGAACGCATAAGAGAGATTATTGAAGTTAAACATACAATAGTGGACGAAATAAAGAACAGTCGCAACTCATATGGTACGGGGATGTCCAACGAATGCAGAAATAAGAATCTCAAAGCAAATTATAAACTCGAAACCAGCAGGAAGAAGAAAACCGGGTAGACCAAGAAGAAGTTGGCAGGAAGGGATTGACACGTTGATGGAGGAAAGATCTCTCGGAGAGGGTGCATGGAGAGATGGCATCGGAAGACGTAGAACGTTTTAAACCGATTAATATATATATATATAGAAGAAAACCGAACCTGAGACGGGACCATGATATTAGGAAATTAGCAGGGATAAATTGGGCACGCACGCATAACAATTGACAACAATGGGCCCAACTACAAAGAGAGTATGTGAGGGAGGCTACACCATTATTGGAAATGGTTCAATAAACTGAAAATGATAAAACTAAAGCACTAGTTAGAATATGTTCTGCCAGATGTTTTACCGAATAAGTACTCTAAAAGTCAATTGCGGACGAATGACTTTCCATATTTTATTTTAAACTGTTTCTAAATCATTGAGTATTGTTTAATCCGCTTGTGTATGGTTTGGATCTTATTATATTTACTGATGAAAACATTGTCAACACTGACCTTCTTGAAGTACCAAAAATCTGGTTCCGAAAGAAGTTATGGAGAAATCTAACGACGTTATAGGACAGTTGATTGGCAAAAAAATCATCAGGACGATATAAAAAAGAATTTGCTGTGTGTTTTACGATACAAGAAATTAAATGGTTTGATCGAATTTTGAAATGACAACATGACGTCAAATTAAGTCAATATAGTCTCGTCAAATGTATTTGAAAGATTTAATCAAGTCGTTGTGTGGGTATGTTCATCCAAATATTTCATCAAACCTATATTAACCATCCATTCCTGTTACTTTTTCGGTGTTTTGTATGTACTAAGTAGGTTACCTTTTAAGTTTTTTACAAAAAGAAACAGAAATGGAAGTGTTTTATTGGTTTTCGAAATATTCGCCCTTAAGGTCTATACATTTTTGCATACGCTCAAACGAATTCTGGAAACAGTTTTTCCGCTCTGAAACTGATATCATAGAAACATGGTTTTGAAAATCTTCAACAATTTCTTGTGGTGAAAAAAAAAACGCTGTCCGCGCATCTTTTGTTTGACAGTGGAGAACAAGAAAAAGTCATTAGGCGATAAATCGGGTGAATACGGGCAATGAGATATTAATTTGATTTCCTCCTTCAAATATTCAGGTGTTTGACGTGCTTTATGGGAGGTGGCATTGTCGTGATGAAGAATGATGCGACGTTTTCAGTTATTTTTTTTTTCTTAATTCATCGAAGACCGTTGGCAAATAAATTGTTGTATACCATTCGGCATTAACAGTTCTTCGATCCTTTAATGGAATGGTTAAGACATGTCCAGTACAACTGAAGAAACAAGCGATTGTATAAACTTAAAATCCAACCTACGTATATAAAAAAATATCTTCAAATTAACTCAAGAAACTGAAAATATCTTTAACACATTTTTTCAAAACTTACACCGTTCTTGTCAATCAAATTGCACAAACAGGTATGTTTAATCAAACTAATTTGACAGGAGTAAAACCGCAAATCTAGATCTAACAAGCAGGCTAAAGAACAAATACCGTGCTCGTTTGTTTTGAATTTACGGTACAGAAAGAAATCCTTCGTGTGATAAGCGTGAAATTTTAGTAAACTGGGTCGCCCGTAGCTTCCGACCGTCGTAGTTTCGATCTGGCAACACCGCGTCGCGCGTTGGAATTCGCCAGCAACAGTTTACACAGTTTAACCTCTCCCGGTACTGCCTTTTTCACCGAAAAACGTAGTAAACAATCTTGTTTCAAGCCTAATAAGCTTACAAAACCTTCTCCGGTTAACTTAAACGGAAAATTTCTGTATTTTCGTTTGGTTTGGGACGTGGGGTTGATATGGAAGTACCTTACCTTCATCCAAAAGCCGTTCGACGTGCAGGAACACGTTGGGGAACGCTGCCAATTGTTTACGATCCTTCAACAACTGGGCTAAATAATCTGCGATGCTCTGCGTTGATGCGGACTGGTCGCACATGGTGCCGCGCGGGGGTGTACGGTGGTACTAACAACTAGGTACTTCGCCCGATATACTGGACATCAATCGTCGCGCGAAACGAAGCTTTAAACCCTCTGACCGGTTGGTTACGAACTGATCTATTATTGTTGCGACGGCGACGTGAACGGTGGTACCGATGCGGGTAGTACTAAATCGCAACTGAACTGAACGTTGAACTGAGCGGAGCGGCTCTCGAGGCGAGTCAAAGCAAGGGGTGCGCACGCAGTTGGTCCTGCGCAAGGGGCGCTGTGGCCTTTTAAGGGCGAAGCGCTGTGTGAAGAAGGATGCCGTGCGCCGGTTGCGTTTCACCGTAAAGGCGACCCGGTACGTAGCGGGCTTGATGTACGACAAGTTGTCAGACACGCAAATATCAACGATATACCGATCGGGTCATCGTAAAAGCGTGGTCTGAATTTTAACGTGAAAACAGTAATGTAGACAGCTTAATGGAAAGTCAAGTGCATTAAAAAAACCTTCCATGCGATATTGCCAAATTTTGCATCAAAATTTCAAACCGAGCAAGTAGGCGTTTACGAAAAATGTTGCATCTAGTGTTAGAGCTTCATTTTTGGCAATTAGCTTGTGTCTTTTTACTACATCTGTAATAGATTATATTTAGTTTGTAAGATTAATATATATCTTATAATTTATCTATATTATCTTCATTTCAGTAGAATACAAGAAAGTTAAAAGAGTTTATTTTTTCTACAGACATAAAAACCGGCAACACTGTAAGCCGCTTTTTATTTTGTTTCTCTGTCTGTCAAGCAGTCCTTTATATTTATCTCTGTCGCATGCATTAAAATACAGATCACGCAGATAAAGTGTCCAGGATGGTATACATCCTTAATAAACTTTTTTAAAAAATAAGTGACACTTACACGATTTTTAAGTCTGATTTACACGATTTACATTGGCACCAGCTACTGGATGATTTTTTTTTTCAATTTATTTTTGCCATACAATAAATATTTTAATTTTTAACCTATGTGGCTAAAATCTATTAACAAATGACAAAAATGTAGTATATATTCTTTGTATTTTGTAATGCTGCAACAATCAAAATTTTAATATCTTTTTAGAATCAAATAAAATCAACCTTACTAATATAAAATCCGAAAACAAAAACATATACTGCATATCTTTTCAATGGTACAAAATAGTTAAAGACAAGACATATTCAGTTGGGCCACAACCTTTACAACTAATTATCAGAATACATATCAAATAGGTACCTATAAATCTTACGCGGTTCTTATCTTTGAGGATTTGATTTAGAAACTAAATGGATTTATGAACAGATAACTAGATCTAGAAGTAAATATCGTAAATTTACCGAGATCAAGTAATAATCGAAAAATCTGACAAAATAGAACAGCTGATTTTTTTTTCTCGTGATAATAAAATAAAATATTAAGAAGAGTTTTAATTGGATAAATTGATTGATTTCAAGAGGTATCTAATTGGCCTCTTTCCACTGCGATCCTTTACAGATCTATTATAGACTTCTGCTGACCTCTAGGTTACATTCTCCAGTCCTATCCTAATAGAAAAAGTCTAATAACTTTGGGACAGAACCTTCCATATAGCTCTTTGCCAATGACTTTCCAACTGCGTAAAAGTAGTGATGAACAAATGCAAGACTTAGACTTCGTCTTGCTGTCTAATAAATAGTCTTGATATTGCAGAGTTGATAAGTGGTAACGTTGACTTTTTGATCTTGGAGCGTCGTAACTCGGGCCCTATGTGACCTAGGGGGCTGCAACTTTTAGCTTCAGAGCTTCATTTTTTAGCGACTTTTCGTGCTCTAAGAAACATAATCATCAATGAATCAAATCAAAAAATCGTCCGATTTAAAGGAAATTTGGTATGTCGATAGATTGGATCAAGAACAATTTTACCGTGTACCTACGAAAGGTGTCACTGTGACAGTTAGTTTTGACTGAAGAAACGTCCAATCGCGACCAAATTTGGTGGGTAGGCTATGTGAGCGACGGTACACAGAGTCCCACCCTGCAAAGTTGGATACGACATTTTGTTTACAGCAGAGTGATGGGACTAAGAATTTGATATTGAAGAAAAATGTGGGTCGATTTGAGCATAATTGGGAATGAGCTACAGGATGAAGCTCTCGACGTTTCGAACCGATGCGATGCCTCTAAATGGGCGATATTATCAGGATTTTTCTTAATTATGGGTCGATTGGAAATAAACTCGGCACGTGGGTATATAGAGTTTATTTACTAAATTATAGGTGTAATTAAGTAGGTACAAGTATTTTAAGTAATACCGTCTTATACTATTATTATTTTTATTTTTTTGTTCTTTGACATTGTAAACATTTATAAATGTTTATTTTAAACAATAAGACTGACAATATTATTTGTATAATGTTTTGTATTATCTTTTGTTTGTTTGTTTATGTACCTTGTTTGTTTACTTTGTTTGTTTAGTTTACCTTGTCTACAAATTGTAAAATTTTTTGACAATAAAGGCATTTATTTATTTATTTATATAAGTATAGGGAAAATTTTGAAAACTGTACTTTCGTAATTAAATCACATATTTTTTTAAGCAACGGTATGCGCGGTCATAATAATTGTATGGGTGACAAAATCATTTTGTACAGTACGTCTGTCCGTTCTGTAGCTATGGGGTATCCGTGAGAGGGGAAACGATATTCTCTCGATGTTTTACGTAAAAAATTAGACGACGCGTCAAGTAGCCAATAAAATGAGTGGGCGGAGCGATTTGCGGTGACGTACACGTCAAGTCGACGTATCAAATATATTGTTGTTTATTTAATTGTTTTTTGTCCGCATTCTTTTCATAGACACAGATCCAGCAGACGTACAGTAGATTTTTTTAAACTTCTGCTAATTAATACAGAAGAGAAAAATCTGAAAGCCGTATATTTTTAATTAAATCACATAATTTATTTTAAACAGTTTCTTTATGCAAGGAAGGGCACGCGGCGCCGGCGTATCAAATTTTGAATTGAGTTAACCGTGTCACGGGGGGTATCGTATGAAAGAGCTTCATTGGCAGAAGCTTAAACATATTTATAATTATTTTTATGATGTATAGTTTTCGATTTATGACGAAGAATGAAAAAATAAAAAAACGAAAAGGTTTTAAATATAGGTAGGTATAATATTGATGTTGTAGTACCTAACAGTTTGCGCAGTAAAAATTGCGAAGTTCAAATTTGTAGGTATACTTGCCTTTGTGCGGACTAGCACTTGTCCGGTTTTTATTTTTACCATTGTTGACATTCCTCACGTAAAAATAAGATTTTTTAATAAGTACCTTCCTCGCGTAAAAATAATAATTTTTTAATTTAAAATAAGATTTCTCATATGAACATAGGTCCAATTCTGCTTTGCTTCGTAGCTACAGGGTGTTAAAATCTTATTAATCTTTCGATTTATTATAATTTTCTTCCAAGTACTTTTAGTGATTCGAATGAAATTTTGAGGGTAAAAGTTAAGTGCTACATATTTTAATGCTAAAAAAGTGTCGATAAACTTATCAGGGTCGTGCGTATGGGTTATCACTAGAATATTTAAAAAAAAAAACATGTGCGCTACTGACTTTTATCTTTTGATATCAAAATTGTGTAAGCCGTTTAATGTCAATTAAAAGTTATCTCTTAATTTTTTTTTCGAATTCGGCCTCCTTGATGAGATAAACGCAATTTTATTAATCACAAATAATAAAAATAAAATTAATAAATTATATATTTTACCTAATTTATTAAATATTATTACTACCGTATAATCGAAAAAAAAACGGCGTCAGCGATGGCTATGAAATGAACATCGATGAAATTTCACATATAAATTTACATACAAAATGACAGCGATCTTCATTTCATAGCCATCGCTGACGCCATTTTTTTTCGATCATACGGTATTAGTCCGACCTACAGCAATTTCAAATAGAAAGATAATGCTATTTAATATAATATAATTACAAAAAACCAAAATTTAAAAAGTTTTAACATCCAACATCCTGTAACTCTAAAACTATGCATTTCCGTACCTACTTATAGGAACTTTTTTTCATATTTTTTATGAGAAATCAATGAGTACTTATTTAAAACTCTCGCAAGTTGAAGATCTTGAAAGTTTTTAAAGGGTGCTATTAGACTTGGATCAAGGCAAATTAATAAAATTGCGTTTATCTCATCAAGGAATCCGGAATCGACAAAATATCAAAGACAACTTTTAATCGGCATTAAAATGCTTACACTATTTCGCTAACAAGAGAAAAAATCGGTGGCATATATGCTTTTCTTTAGAAAAATATTCTAGTGATAACCCATATACACGTCCCTGTCGAATATGACGACACTTTTTAAGCTTTAAAAATGTCGCATTTATAGTAATTCTTACCCTCAAAATTGAAGAAAAAACTTTGAAGAAAATTATAATAAATCGAAAAAATATTAACACTTTAACACCCTGTTGCTATGAAACAAAACAGAATCGGACCTATGTTGATATGAAAAATAAATCTTATTTTTACGTGAGGAATCTCCCCACGAGAGATGGCACATGTTTTTTGAAACATCCTGTATTAAGTTTGGCCAAATGAACACAAGAAAATACACCGAAATTACACCGCTGGTGCAAACAGTCCACCGTCTTATGTCCAGCGTACTTTTTTCAGTAAAAGGAACGACGGACGTTCAGTGGGCGCCAGCCATGCAACTTAAGTAATTTGTTTATCAATCCGAATGTAAAACGCCATATGGCCGAACGATCGAACCAACAATGTGGGCTCACATGTACGTATGTATATGCGTCGACGTTATTGCATTATGTCCGAAAGCATAATGTGAACAAACAGCTTGTGGAATGCCTCTTATTCCTTTGTTACGATTATACACACAATGTTCGGGATGAATTATTTCGGCGCGGAAGAATTGTTAAAGAGGAGAAAGTTCAGTTTGGACAAAGCCTTGTAATGTTTTTTTCGAACAAAAGGATTCGAAGGAGTCAAATATGTTTTCTTAATTGTAAAAGTCATCCCTTATTATGTGCAATCATATTGAAATCTAGAATGCCACTTTATCTAAAGAAAGAACCATTCGACCAGTGTGTATTACCGATCATGACCTATGCATGCGAAACCTGGATACTTAAAACGGATATTATAAGCAAACTGTAGGTCGC